TTTTTTTTGAGACAGGGTCTTCCCCTGTCACCCAGACTGGAGTGCAGTGGCACAATCATGGCTCACAGCAGCCTCAACCTCCCAGGCTCAGGAGATCCTCTCGCCTCAGCCTCCCGAACAGCTGGGGCCACAGGTATGCGCCGCCACGCCCAGCTAATTTTTATATTATTTGTAGAGATGGGGCCTCCTTATGTTGCTCAGGCTGGTCTTGAACTCCTAGGCTCAAGAAAACCTCCCACCCCAGCCTCTCAAAGTGCTGGGATTACAGGCTTGAGCCACTGTGCCTGGCCCCCAACTCTTTCACTCCGGTCCTGTCTATCCTGTTGGCCCCTGTACCGTTACTGCCATAACAAATGGGCACAAACTTGGCAACTTAACACAATGCAAACAAACAAACAAAAAAACACAAATGCATTATTTCCCAGATCATCCTGGTCAGAAATCCAGGATGGCTCCACCAGCTCCCACCCGAACTCTCATTGGAAGGCTCTGGGAAGAAGCTGCTTTCAAGCTCATTCAGATTTTCGGCAGAATCGAGTTCCTGGGCTTGTGGGACTGAGGTCCCCACGTTCTCAGTGGCTGTCTCTGGGTAACCCCCCATATAGGCACCGAGGAATAAGAGCTAAGCAGAATCCTGGCACAGTTAGGGCTTGAAGAATATCTCACTTTACAGTGTTACTACTCAGCTACTTCCTTTTATATAATCCTTTACATAATCATATATTAGTTTATAGAAATAGGGCTTGAAGAATCCCTTTATATAATCCTCTCTATATAATCACATAATAGTTGATAGCATGAGTGCCTAAAGAATACTTCCCTACATATATACCTATAATTATATCTTAGTTCATAATCGGAGGAATGCCTAGAGTGGACACAGTACAGAGCATGAATTAAGGAATAAGCAGCTTATAATTGGAGGAATGCCTAGCGCAGACACAGTGCAGAGCATGATTTAAGGGAAAAACAGTTATAACAGGACAAGAATCCATGGCCCAGGTGGCAGTGTTCAGTATCGTAAAGATACTCACTGTGTGGCAGGCTTGGGGCGAGAGCCACTCCTCCCGATAAAGGAGTTGCAGGACCTTGCTCCAGTTCTTGTGGAAGGCTGCCCTCAGACTGGCAATCTACCTTGGTGACTGTGAACT